CTTACCCTCCTCAGAAAAATGTGGTCCCAGAGCTGTTCAAGAAGCTGTCAGTGAAAATGCCTCCTCCTTGGAAAATGATAAGACAAAAAGAGAGGAAATACAGTAAAAAAAGACCAGAGGCCACTTGGTAAGTCCCAACTTGTGGTTTCCAGTGTCACGCTTTGCTGTCACAGTGAGCAAAAGAGACCAGAGCCTGCACTTGGGTGCTCTTTAAAATAACCCCTCCTCTCTGTGCCTTGCTCCCTGTCTCTGCCCAGCTACAGGAGTTCAGCTTCCCTGGGCTGCCTGGCCTCTGGAAACTGGGGAGACAAGCTTGGACCCTGCAAATGCACAGGTATGAGGGAGGAAAGGGAGGGGAAGGTGAAGAACGTAGATCCACAGCAGGTAATAACTGTCCCAGGTAAGTGTAGGGTGGACTACTGGCTTCTCCACCGCAAAGCTAGGTGCCTGGGTGAAAGCCAGTATTTTCAAGGAGGGGGACAGGTTTAAATTGGACATAAGGAAGGTATTTTTTACAATAAGGGTGGTGAGACACTGGCACAAGTTGCCCAGAGAAGTTGTGGCTGCCTCATCCCTGGAAGGGTTCAAGGTCAGAATGGATGAGGCATTGAACGATGTGGTCTAGTGGAAGGTGTCCTGTGGCAGGAGGGTTGGACTGGATGATCTCTGAAGATCACTTCCGACCCAAAATATTGTGTGATTATAGTGTTCTATGATGTAAAATAACCAGCAGGAAATGCCAATGAAAAGCTGGCCTTCAGTTTCACTTTTCTAGGATTTCAGTGCTTAACTCTGGGCAGAGGGAAGGAGACCAGCTGATGGGGATTCACAACCATGTCCTATTTCTTGGATTTAGATCACTGCTTCCATAAAGACTTGCGCTGGCTTTCAAGGATACTGACTCACATCCCCTGATGTATTTGCAGAGAGATGTGAACTCTGATCTTCTGTCTTGCAAGAACACCCTAACTTCTGTGTTATATCATACACCAGAATAACCACCACCTCTTGCCAGTTAACCTCAGGAATAATATAAAGCAAAACTTCCACATCACAGGAGAATTTCATCCTATGGGAGAGATAAAAGGGGAATGAGTGACAGTGACTGCACGGGAAGGGAAGGATACTGGAAATGAGTGAAGGAGAGGAATGTAGAGCCAAGCCTTCCCAAAATCAACAAGGTAACCAGCTTTCCTTATGAAAAATAGGGTCACAGCTGTGAAAAATTAAGGATAAAGCCTTATTTTGAAACATATCTTAGAAACTTCTCCTTAATATACTATGTATTTTTTTTCTCATGTGTAGATTCCTACTGCCTCAAATATACAACTCAATATACTACCAATTTAATATGTAGAATGGCATCTATCATCATCTTTACACATTTCAATATATTTCAATTTACCAGTTCAACCTAATTGTAAAATTCCTTACGTGGACATTTAACTTTTTTTGAAGCTGCAGTGATTTTTACACAAAGAATATTCTCTGCTGTGCTTCATGAGTTTTAAGAACTTGCAAAAACTACTTTTTGTAGATAGAACAGGCATATTTCTAATACAAGACTCCCACACATACACATACCAGTGAACCTGAGTTACTCAGTGTTCCCTTTTCATGCCTGAAATTAATTACTATAAACCATTTTGATATTGAAGTTCTTAGAATTACTTTTATGAATTTTTATAATTTTAAGATGTCCTAAAAAGCCAACATTTTTCAGAGAAATATTTATTTTCTTTTCTTAATAAAGGGGACACTACAGAATTCTACAGAATTAATATACTTCCATGATCTGTATAAAATAAAAGATTATTCTAAGTCTCATACCATACCTTTAAGATTGACTAGAACACTGTAAAATAAATGTAAGTCATATGCAGTTTCTACAAATGTGTTTCAACATCCCTATATGAGTCACTGTTGAAAAAACTCACACAAATGACAATGGGGATATATCCCAACTGAAAATACAAAACTAGTATCTAATTTCCAGAAACCACTGAACATGCTTTGAGCTGTGCAGTATAGCAATGACGATCTTGTGGGGCATGTCTCAACATCTCAGTGTACTAATGCTGATGCAATCTCTGCCACAGTTCTCAAACATCTGCCATAATTCTCAAACTTTGTCTGTATGCTAGGGAAAAAACCCACTGAACCTTTAGTTACTTGGTCTTCAAGATCAGAGGACAACTGATAGTGTACTTGGCATTATGCGGCATGCAAGCTGATCTTGGAACTAGTCATACCATTTTCCATTAATTTGTACATGAAGAAAGTCTTTCAGAAAATAACCAGTATCAGGATTAGCTGCATATCATGATACATTTTTAATCAAATGTTGATTTGTTTTTTTAATTTTCAGATTTTCTTAACATTGTTTCCCTTATATTTTGAAAATAAACTCTTGCATTTCTGCTTATTTCTTTTCCAATGTAATTGAAATTAATTACTATAAAACATTTTGATATTAAGTTCTTGGAATGACATTATGAATTATCCTCTCTGTTACAAGAGGGAGTAGTACTTTTTTTGCCTCTCTGGCTGTATTGTTTTAGGTATGAGTGAATCTTGGGGAAAAAAATATGTAATTGTTCCATAATCAACTGGTGTATGCGAATGACTAAGCACAATACTATCAATCCATGCAGCAGTAGCAGTTCATGCAGTAATATTTTAACATTTTTAGGGGGGGGAAGTCAGAATCAGCAATAGGGAAAGTTCTTGTATCAGCACAGACAGGTTTTTTTTTTTTTTAAGTCAGCATGCTTTGAATTGCTGGTGGAATGCAAGCATCACAGCATGGCCACATGGAGATTTTACCTTGGTCAGCTGAAGATGTTCACAAAACTCAGGCTCAGCTTTAGATCATGACTGCTTTGTTTGCTCTAAGCCCTTTGTGTACATTCAGCCAAAGACTATGCAGTAGTGCATGTCAAAGATCCTAGGATAGTCCTGACAGGAGTCCTACACTGATGCCAAACAAATGAATTCCTGTAACAATCAGCATTGGCCAGCAGTTTTGAAGAACAAGTAAACTTGGAATTCTTCCCTCTGCCAGTTATGACAATATGAAAAATACTGCAGTTAGATCTGAGCTAGAAACACTTTTCTTGTAGGAAAGTTTTTTAGATTTTAAATGTTTTTTTCTTCACTAGCAAGAAATCATGGTATTTCAGAATAACTGGGCAGAATTGCAGCAAAGAGATTTTTCTCATCCCAGTAACTTGATAATTAAGGCTTTCAAACAACTCATGGGAAACTCAGCTTCGATCACATAACCCATATGACAGTCTAAGCCTCAACTTCCCTACTCAACGATTACTTTAACTATAATGCTGGTGTGAACTTCCCCACTAGCAGTGAAATCTTCCAAGATTTCTTCTGCATAAATGCCACTCTGTGGAAGTAATTTCATACTGTTAGGTACAGAAAAATAAAGAAAATGTAACTGGTTGTGGATGGCTGATTTTAGGATAGAGTTGATGAAGTCTTTACACACTGTGAAGATGAGTTAACTACTTCTGTAAAATCAAAAGACGAGCATGGAAACCGGAGAAACAGTCTGCAACAAGTACCTGGATTTGTTTTTTCTATATCCAACCTGAGTGCTCTACCTACTGTATTGCCCTACCAGCTATTTTGGTTTTTCTACTGGTAAATTTGCTATACACTGGGCCAAGCTGTAATAAGATCTATTTTGCAAGGGTAGTAACCCTAACATGCAAACACCAGAATTTTGCCTACTTAAAAGTCCCCTGTAATTCAGACTGGATACATTCTTTTTAATGTTTCCCCCAAACACTGCTTTAGAGAGTGAAAAGTGTCTATATACTATCTACATTAACTTCCACAGAAATAGTAAAAAACCCATGGATTTCTTCTAGGAGGGACTCAATGATCTTGGAGTCCTTGACATGCTCACCCTCAGCAACCTCCATGGCAGAGATCCTGTTTCAGTTGTGCAGTTCACACAGCACCAAAGACCAATTCCCTGTCCTACATCTTTTGTGACCTTAAGAAATGAGAGAGAAGCCATGCTGGGAGTTGCAGAACCTGAAAGTGCTTTCACCATCAGACTCTAAGGCAGAACAAACACAAAACAAACGATGTCCTCTTCAGCCTGAGTGCTGCTTTCACCTGCATGTTAGGACTGCAGTAGGGTGCCTGCCAGCCATGTCTTCAAGAGGCTTGGCCTCGCTATTGCTATGCAAGCCACAGTGCTCAACGTGCCACTAAGCAGCCTTACAGCCATCCACAGACAACAGAAATGCCACAGACCTTACTGGTAACTGAACAAGTTTGCACAAGCAAATGTGCGTGACTGATGCTAACGGTGTGCCACCTACCACCTGCATCACTCAGTGCACCCCGGGTGCACAGACCTCTCATGGCAGCTTCTCCTGAGGGTGCCAAGTCTGTACTGATGGGCACACCTTGCTGCTCTTGCAGGAGAAAGAGTATGTGCCATGCCATTCCTTGGTGCAGCCTGCTGTTCCCCACCTCCCCATCCCCGACTCATCTCCATGGTATTACTTCAACTATAGCTGTGCTTGGTCAGTAGCACACTGCGTATTATTAAGTCAAGAGAGGCAGAACGAAGAAAATCATGCAGCCTTTATCATTGCTGTTTGGTAGCAAACACCAGGTCAGCCGCAGCTACCTGCGAACAGCCCAGCAGCGCTGAGCCACCTTGGATCGCGGCCTGTTGCCGGAGCCCGCCCCCGTGAGACCTGACCAGAGCCCCGGCCAGCGCGGGGGGCTCGGCCGCCCCGCCCCGCCTCTCGGCTGGGCCTGACCCCCGCCCATGAGTCCCCAGGGAAAGCTCGGGCGTAGGCATAGGGCGGCTCGAAAGACCCGGCCTGGCGCACAAAGCACAGCGGGGATCTGAAAAAACGGTGGGCACCGCTGACCCCTGCGGGGGCAGGGCCGGGCCGCTCCTCCAAATCGCCAATGCCGCGGCGGCCGCTACTACAAAAGGGGCGAGCGAGGGCTGAGAACCCGGCCGCGGCAGGGAGGGTCCCGTTGCCATGGCCGAGGGGCGGAGCACCGCGCGGCGGGTGCTGGAGCTGAAGGAGAGGCTGGGGGGCGCTCAGGAGCCCGACGAGGTACCCGCGACCGCCCCGGCTCTGGCCGCAGTGTTCACGCGGGGGTTGCCCTGCTTCCTGCGTGTCCCCTCAGCGCGAGTGGCGGGGGGCGTGGCGGTGCTGCTGGCGGACGAAGCGCCGTGGTAGGGCAGGCTGAGGCCGCTGGCCCGCGCCGCCCTGAGGCGCCCGGGCTGCCCCCTGCCGCTGCCCGCCTGCCGCATCGGCTGCTGGCGCTGCCGAGCAAGGAGAGAGGGGTGTGGGCGTGCCGAGTGCAGCGCGCCGGGCCCCGGCGGGGGAACCCGTGCGTGAGTCTGCGGCCCTGAGTCGCCGATTAGTTTCCGTCCCTTCTTGTGACCAGGAGGGGTTGAAGGAGAGCTGGTGGCCGTCAGGTCATGCGTGGTTATTTCCTGGGTGAGGGCTAAGGCTTTCTATGGGTGGTCAAGAGGCCATGCGTGCAGTCAGGTGAGGAAGAGAAGGAAAACAAGGCTACGTTCTTGTATCTAACCGCGTAATGATCTAACAAGAACACTGGCTTCATGAAGTCTTGTCAGCTTGGCCAGAAGGTGGAAATGCAACAGCAAGGGTGCTAATTTTTGTGTTCATAAGGGCTTTTCTTGGCGAAATAGGTATTTCTGCTTTGTTTCAATGGTGTGCAGCAAGAGGAGAGGGAGCTGTAACACCCTGCATTCTTATTCCTGGTGCTCAAGACCAAAGCTGCTCTTATCTCCGAATAAAAAAAATAAAAAAAAATCAAATAATCTCTGTCGGGTGGTAGTACCTGCAAGGACTAGATAAGGAATACTTGAAGTAAGCACACGTTAGTGGGGAGATGGATCAGAGCAGCCTATGGAAGTTGTGCTTGACACCCTTGAAGTACAGAGGCAAAAGGCGAGATAAGCACAGACTGCAGGGCAGCTGAGGGGGGGGAAGACACCCTCATTCTCTCAGCTGCAGCCTGGACCCTGAAGGGAATGGAAGCCAAGCAGTATGTGCCAGATTGGCCTTAATGTATTGCAAAGTAATTAATCACATTTGACTGAAGAAGGTGTACTCAAAAAGGTGGGTTTTCTTTGAGGGTTGAATTCCATTTGAAAGTACAGAATGCATTTGATAGATGTGATAGATTTCTAAAACACTAAAATTTGATACAAGTTCATAGAAGTATTTGGATCTGAAGGGTGGCCGCAAAATCTGCGATGCATGTGGTAGTTAATGAACTTGAAAAGCTTAGTTATTAAACATACCTGCTGTGCCTTTTCAAAGTGTGTGTATGTATACGTATATAGAAAATACTGATTCTCCTGGCCAGTAATGGTTTATCTTCCTGAATGCCAATGCTGTAGGTTTTATCTGTGCAAAATGCAAATATCTCTGCCGGTGCTGCTTCTGATGTTTCAATTTGCAGTTCAGTAGATTTAAAATCCCTTGTGCAACAGAAGTTATCAGATGTTGCAGTCTTTGACTTTTTTAATGCCTGGGGTTGGTGTTGATACCCTGTTTTGAACAAGAGATTGAAAGGGAAAAGACAAACAGTTCTAGAGGTAATTAATTTTTAAGTGATCACAAGCCAATAAGCTTCAAAACACATTCAACTCGAGTGAAAAAGTGTGTATAGCCCCATAGATGGGTTTCGTTAAGGAAGGAGATGCAGTTTTTGTACCATGACTTCAAGCAAGTGCTGCATAAAATGAGACTAATGGTGGTGCTGCAGCACTTCTGCTGTCCTTGGAGAAGCTGTCTACTGAAATAGAAATATTTACAAATAACAGGGACTAAGGAGTTGCTGGGGAAGTGAGAAACTGATAGTCAGAAGTCTGCACTCATGACTTGCACTGCTAATAAAAGGTAAATCTAGTAATAGAAAACGTGATTATCATCTTTAAAGGCAAAGAGAAAAATTTTAGGTATGTGTATCAGCATTACAGATGTGTGTGTCCAAGTGTTGGTGGTGTCAGTTATTTCTGTACAGGAGAATAATATTTCTTGGCACTTTTTAATAATTTCTGAATACTCATGGATCTGATAGTAACCAGAGAAGATGCAGAACCTCTATTGTTCATGTCAAAGGCTTCTTAATGGGTGAGGTTTTGTAGCTACCCCAGTGAGTTTTCAGAGAATTGACCAAAGAACGAGCAAAACAAATGATTTAGGTATTGAATGATGCTCAAGGTACTACAGAATTTCAGTAGGAGAGGAAAAAAGTACTGTGCTGTTGTTTATGCAGGTAAATGAAATGGTCTTCATTGAGATTGATCATGGAGGAATGAGAACAGCTGCATGATGTTGCATATAAGATGTACCTTATATAGAACTAAAGGATGTTGCCATGATCCATGCCACTTTGAGACTTTATGTAGATATGTCCTGCCAAATTTATCTGAAATTATAGTCAACTGACACCAGCTGTCATAAATATATGCAGATCTCTTAAGGCATTTGGCTTGCTTCTGTATGATGTTGGTTACAGTAGCAGTGTTATGGACCTGATGCAATACATAAAATGGATTTCAGTTGCACTCACCAAAAATAAGTGCTAGACCTCATGAAAAAACAATATGAATTTGTGGGTTTGGTTGTGGGCTTGTTGTGGGATTTTTGGGGGTGAGAGCTGATCATGCATCTGTTCTGGACATGCTGCTAGTCAAATGTTTCTTAATTTAGAAGACAGCAAGTGTGGTAGGGAAATGCTACAAATACTGGAGTAATTTGTGGTGAATGAAGGGAGACCATTCTAGAAACCAGCTTTGATCATGTGCTAGGCTATGTTCATTTGAGCAGCATGCATTTTAACATGGCTCAGTGGAAAGTCACAGCTAGGAGCTATGAATGTAGGTCACTCAGGATAGGAGACTGTGTTTTGGAAGGCATTGACTCATAAAATGATTCGGAGCTCTGATGTATTACCAGTTGAGCATGAAATTGCAGCACAATGCAGTGGCTTATGGAGTAAATGCTATCTTTGGGTAGCTTAGCAGGGTTATGTTATTACTGCTATATAGTATTAGAGGGACAATTACAGGAATATTACGTCCTGTTCTGGGGACTGTTTTTAAAAGCACTGCCAAGCTGGAAAGATAGCCAGAGAATGGCTGTAGGTAGGTCTGGCTAGCATAACTTGCTGAAACTGAAAAACCAAGCTAAAGTATGTAATTAGTGTTTACATTTGTATTGTACAAGATGTTTGAAAGAAACATTTCATTAGCAGAAAGAGATCGTTAGATTCAGTAGCTGGAAACAAAACTAGACATGTTTTTTTAGCTAACAGTTGTGGTGCTGTGTTTTGGTGGGGGGTGTGTGGGTTTGATAGAGGGCAGAGAAATGACTTGGGAATGTGTTGGGTTTCCTAACGTGTTGTCTTCAGAGTCTTGGTGACCTTTCAGACAAGGTGTCTAGCTCAGCCAGAAGTTACGGACTTGGTGAAATTCTATGGGCTGTGTTACAGATCAGCATGAGCTCATCATGGGGATTCCTCAGAGAGAGAGATACGCAGCTAATGGGCAAGGAGGGAAGGAGAGGAAGCAGGAAAAAGCTACTGGGGTGAAATGTTGAACCAGTCCCTTGACCGCAGAAGGCCAGGGGGTCTGTTATTGGTCCCATCCTTTCTTGAGGGTCCAGGCTCAGGTAGAAAAAAAAAAATGAGATTGTACAACACTTGTATAAGGGATAATGACACAACACTGGTGCAGTGGGAAGAGATCAAACTTGGCACAGTTGGGATCTGCTGTTATCATCACTTTCAGTTTTGACTCTGGAAAATTTTTGTTTGCTCACATGCTTCTTACCCACTGCTCATTACCATTGCTCTCTGTTTTCCAGTGCCTTCCTGCTTTCCCTCTTTCCCTTCATTTTTAGCTCCCTCTTGCTCCTGTTGTCACCTTTGCTTTTGTCTCAGAGCAGTATGAGTGTGCCAGCTCTGTTTGTCCACGAGGCTTTGCTTCTGTTGTCTGTCTGTTGCATAAACATCTGTGTCTTGGGCTTGCTTAGAATGCTGTTTATTGTAAAAACAACAATCCTAGAAGCTTTGGATCATTCTTTAGAAATCAGTATTTAGGAATTACATAGAATAGTTCAGGAATTGTATCTAGAGGTAACATCTATGTTCTTTGTAATTGTTTGTTTTTTTAATAAACTTTACCTTCTGTGAAGTTTACCATGTCTTTAAAGTCAATAGAGTTTTTCCATAAGGGTATAGCTGGTAGTGGTATGAAAGGAAAATAGTCTGAAAACCAGTGGAGGGTTACATATGTGTTGTGTACATGTGGAAGAACTTGAGGGAAAAGAAGTTACTGGGTACAGTCTAGTGAGGTAAGAGCCAGATGGGCTACAAATGCTTCAGTAAAAAGTACGGTTAGAGCAAGGTATCTGAATGGTCAATCTTCATCTTGTTCTTGAAGGCCTGCTCAGAATGAACTTAAGATAAATACTTTCTGCCTTATTTTCATAGATTCATAGAATGGTTTGCATGGAAGCTACCTTAAAGATCATCTAGTTCAATCCCCACGCCATGGGCAGGGATGCCTTTTACTAGACCATGTTGCTCAAAGCACCATCATACAGTAATTGTAATGTTCTACCATATAAATACAATGACACCAAAGTTTGTTTCTAACAAGCTTTAGTTTCAGTGACAGGCTTTACTCTGTCCTGTGCATCACAGTATGTTTTTGTGGCCTTCACTAAAGTCTGGTAGACGTTGGAGCTTGATGTTTTTGCTTTAAAAAGCAAACATCCATGCTTAGTCTGATAAATAAATCAGAGCTCTTTAGCAAATAGGATAAATATACACAAAGTTTCTCTGCTGTACTGATGTTCTCCACAAATTAAATTTGCTGTTTGTGTTTGTAAATATGTTTGGTTTTAAGTGCCAACAGCTTGGAGATGGGTAATGCCTGTTGGCAGGCTGGATGCTGCTATTTACCTTGCCAAGTTACAGTACAAGGCAAATGGAGCTCTCTTTTCCTTTGCTGGTTCTGTGCACACACAGCTGCTGATTTCACTGCAGCTTGAGCAGTTCCCTGCTTTCAAGAGATCAGGATCACTTCTAAAAGCAGAATGTTTGATCAGTGCTTTCTGGTTTCTTCTCAATGAAACCCTTTTGTGTGTCTTAAATTTGCCAAATGTGAAACACATATCAAGAAAGCAAAATGAACAGTGTGGTCTGTGGCTTTGTCTTTCATTAAAATGTGTTGACTGCTTTTGGACATACTTGTCATCTAGGTGCTTTTGTAATTTAGCCTGTTGGATTGAAGTTATATGAATAGGAATTGCCTTCTTCCTGAATCTCTTCTTCTGAAATTAATTGTGCTTTATGAATTAACATAGTCTGAAGCCCATCAAAAGGAAACAGTCAAAACCCCTGTGCTTTTTTTTTTTTTTTTGTAACTTGATGGAAGAAATCTTTCAGTGTTCTTCCATGTGCAGATTTGTCTCTTGTCTGTGGGATTTATTCCCAGGGGTTTACACTGCTTCAGTCATCCTGTATAGCACAACATAACCTGTCAGTAATGGATTATTGCAAAATAAATAAATAGGAATATATTTTTAAACTAAATTAAACAAAAAAACAACCTAACTTGACACTAATGCTTGTAATTAGCATTGCAAGCATTTTCTATGGGATTTTTTTTTTCTAAAGCATCTTTGCCACACTTTTTTTTCCCTTGTGGGACTGTTTAGAAGTCTTCAGGTCATTAAACGTGTAGCCTATACCTCTGATGCATCTGGAAACAAGTTAAATGTTAAGCTTGTATTCTTCTCAGAAGGAAGAATAGCTCTCTTGTGATGCAAAATTAACTTCATTATAGGTAGTCTTAAATAACTTGCTGGCTCATGGACTGTCTTAATCTTAAATAGGAGGTAAGCAAAACTTCACATGGGTTTTGTACTGGTTCTGAAATTTTGCTCAGCAAGCCTTTTTCTTTTTTTGTAGGTATCCTGCCATTTTGTACTTAAGTGGGAGAGGGTTGCTACCTCTGGTCTTAGGTGTATGTCTTACCATTATAGCTTCTCTCATGTTTTCCCAGGCTGTGGAGCATTTCTCCTGTATTTCTCTAGGTCTCAAACACTGTTAAGAAGGTGGATAATTTGCAGGAAGAACTGCGTATCAGGGATGTGGATAGAGCCCACTGTACACAGTGAAATTCAGTGTCAAATGTGGGATTACATTACTAATGCATTATAGGAGCAATGGAACTTAAAAAACAGTAGAGAAAAATACCCCCATTGCAGTTTGTAAATTGCTGCTTCAAGTTTGCTACTTGCTTATTCTGGTACCTCTTCTGCCTCCTGCAGCACCATTTCAGAAGCAATATCTGATGATAAATGACAGTTCATTGGTTAAGTTAGCATATCTATTACTGTTGTTAAAAGTTTCTGGTAGTTTTCTGGGTAGTCTGTTTTGCATTCCTGCAAGTTCCTGCTATTGCCATTTAAGAGGCAATGATCTGAACAACTTCAGGCTTTGTGAAAGTGTTAAGAAATGCTGTTAGTTCAGTTGCACATTAATTGTCATCTACATAACATAGCTCCATGGAAGATTGTGAAAGATAAGGCAAGATGCTTGTGTGTGGTCCACTGCAAGACTCTGGGAGTGCTGCATACCTATTGCCCAAGGAATTGATTATATTGCCAAAGAAATTTATCCTCTGCTTATAAATGAGACTTTTGTGTTATTAAAACACTTCTCATAGGAATATGAGCATTTTGTTTTAAAAAAATTCTTTCCTGTTTTGATGTAAAACACTGAACTTTGTAGCAGGTGCATGTTTTATCAGTGTGAAACAGAACAGCTGTTGTAGCCTGAGCTTGGTTTTTTTTTTTTTAATATAAAAAATGGAGTTAAGCTTTCAAAACCTTATTTTTTGCCAGATGGGCTCCCACCTGCTCTATAGGCCTTTCTTGGCCTGGGCAGATGGAAAAATGGTGCTGCTGACTGGGAGACTTGCTGATTTTTTGCATGGTGGTTCTGCATAATGTGGCTTTTCTGTTGGTTCTGTGGCAAATAGGGGTCACTGCTACACAAGGAGTGTGGCCATATGTAGGTAGCCTGTTCTACAGATATACTACTGTATTATTGATCTTTAATGTAATCTGTGGTAAATTTGTACCTACTGGATATTCTGGTGTTACAGAACTATCCTGGTTCACAGTCCAGACTTCAAACACAGCCCTGCTGTGCAATAAAGGAGTACTTTTCCTGGAGTTACTGGATGTTCCTTTTAACACTGTTGAGTGGTTTTGGAATAAGTGTGTGAGTCAGAATGAGAAAAACAGAATAGAATTTATGCATCTGATGCTTTCTTCCAGATTATAGAAACCCTTGAGGTACTACAGAATTTGGATATATCATTGGATATTCTAGTGGTAAGTGACCAATAATACATTATTCTTCCATAGTGATTTACAGTGTGAATGTCAGCGGTCTGCAATCATAGAAGCAGCGAATATGTTGCATTTTGTAATTTTGACTCTTAATCATGATTTCTTTAGAGGCTTGTGCAGGGAATCATGGAATCTATATAACAAATATGAAGTGAAAGCTGGGCATAATGCTTGACAAATGCAGTATTATGCCAACAGTGATAGTACTGACCAAGAATCTGAGCATATAGAGAATACTTTACTGCTCAGAGGTGGTTTCTTCTCACTGTAAAACTGATTTCAAGTCAATGTGTAAAACTAAACAAATATGGGTAAAATGTTCTCTAGGTCAGTGGTCTAAATCTTGTCTCTTATTCACAGTTCAAAATTAATTTATTTCATTTAAAGAGCAGGCATCCAAAGTAAGGATACTTGTGACTTGTATCCTTATCCAAGATGCATCGTATCTAATTTTGTATTAGAAATTCTTACACTGGCTTTGCGTTATTATGAGCAAAGTGTCTATGTTCTGGGAAGAAAAATGCTGATTTTTTTTTTTTTTTTTTTTTTCAGTTGGGAAACAAAATTGCAGTTAGTTATTTAAAATAACAAAGGGCTTCTGCAGACAACTCATGTGTGCAGCAAGCTTGCATGTTTTATAATCTGACAGACTTTGAAAGCCTTCAAGTCAAATAGAGGAAAGAGATGTCTTACAGCTGGGGACTCCACATATTTTTTTAATGCATTTGAAGAACATAAATAGGCTAAATGCTAACATGAAAATAAAACCTGTCATTTTCTGGTTTCTCCAGTAAAATTAAGTATGCTTTTTTATTTCCCCTATGGCTGAAACTGAGACTGAGTTTAGTCATATGAACTCTGCTTCTCTAACCCCTCCACTACTGTTGTGGTTGAGATGCATTTTGCATTACAGTATGTCCATCATATGGCCTCTCTAGCATGCTAAAATGTACCTGTGTAAGCCTAAAGGGTTGATAAACATAATTCACTCGAGCAGTATGAATTTTGTGGGCATAAGCATTTGAGCCAAGTGTAATTACTGAAATAAATACATTTAATGGAAGAAAATGACTTTTTATTTGTATGTATTAAGACTGTATTTTATTCCCTGTATTTGGTTATAAATATCTACCTTCAGTTCTGTTTGTGGCATAAAAAAATGTGTTTATTTTTTAGCTGCCATAAGACTACTCTGACTAATACGTTGATACTGTTTGTAGTGGTTTTGGAGAAGATTTTATTTGGGATGTTTGATTTATTCTGCCCATCTTTCTTGCACTATCTTCAACAGGAAACTGGCATAGGCAAAACAGTTAACAGTTTTAAGAAACATGCCACTGCTGGGAATATAGCTAAAACCCTGGTAAAACAATGGAAGAAACTTATTCCTTCTGAAAAGAAAAGGTAGGTGAGCTAACTTTTTTCTGAAAGTTAATTATACTGTAGTGTAACTTTATAAAATACAGCTTGGAAAGCTTAGGAAAGTGTTTGGAATGACAAGTAAGCATGAGGACAAATACATAAATTGAGTGGAAGAAATAAATTTTGCTTTTATAAAATATCGGCAGACAAATCAGAGTAACCAGGATTGGTCAATTAGCCATTCAGCACTCACACTTTGACTGCCTCTTTTGATTGGCACAAATTAAGTCCCAGCTGATGCAAGTGGAACTAAGCCAATGGTGGGCACTGCTCTTCAGGGAAGTAGGAAGCTTGCTCTTTCTTCCCAGAGGTGGTGGTTAAATGAAGCAGCTCTCCAGTGATTTGCCTCTATAGAGGGCTTTCCTATAATGCTCTTATTAAAGTGGACTGAGAGAGGCTTCCAGTACTGGAGGAGTCCCACTGAAGAGGTGTGACTTCTTCAGAATGAAGCAGCCACCACCACCATGTCCAAACTGAGTGCTTCAGATGTTTTGCAGACCTCTGACCTTCTGAGGCATTTTAGCTGAGAAAGCCAGAGGTTTAGATTAAATATTGCATTTTAAGTCTGAAGTTGTTCAAACAATGGGGAAGTGGAATACCAGAAACTGTGATAAAGCAGGCTGACCAGTTGTAATCTGTATCACCTCCAGAGTATGTCATAAATTCTGTCTCTTCATTATTTGAAGTACCATGTCTGTGTTATAAAGCATGCAGGAAAGCTTGTCTAAAAAGTGGTATCCAACACCCTGTAAGCATTTCAAGCATGTTTTCCTACTGACAGTTATGGCTGTACTCCTGACTTGTCTTGCTGTCAGTTCTTGTTGCAGTATTAGTGGTGCAGGGCCCAAGAGCTTCTGCTTTGGGGTTCTGTACTGATAATGGAAGACCACAGCAGAGTACAGGTCTGGGGCTTCTAAAATTATGCATGGTGTGATTTTAATGCTTCTAGTTTTATTAATATAGTAAAAAGATTGTTCAGGAATTTACATCAGATGTAGCATGGAATGTGATTTAATCTTTTTTTTTTTGATGTTTCAGCACTCACAGAGAAAGAAAACAAAATACTGAAAAAGATGAGACAAAATCTTCCGTTTCCAAGGAGGTTACACCTTCAGAGAAGTTCAGAGCATCTGTACTGACCTCCAGAAGTTCTGACAGTGCTCCCGATTCTAAAAAGTTGAATAAGCAGCATACTTGTATTGAAAAGATCCACCAAGGTACAGATTCTGAGTCTCAAAAAGAATGTGATAATAAAGAATGTAGCAACGGTGATTATGAGCATGCTTCCCAGGGTACCAGTCCTCGAGCTAAAGAAAGTGACTTCAAAGAGAGAACCTCTACAGAGAGCAAGAATTTTTCGGAAGAGCAGCATTCCTCTGTAGCCAATAAAGACTTGCCACAGCTGAAGAAAAAGCCTAGAAGGGATGCTTCCAAAAAGAGGAATCCTAAGCATGTGAAGAAACCAAAGCAAAAACTTGTCCTAAAAAGCAAAGCCAAATTATCTAGTGATGAGGAATTTGAGCCCCCTACGATGTCTTTTGAATCTTACCTTACTTATGATCAGGTTACAAAGAAAAGAAAGAGGAAGGCTTACTCTACAGGTGCACAGCCAAAAAAGTGCTCTGAACAGAAAGACAGCTTGTTACTACAAAAGACTTCAAACTTTTCCTATGTGAAAGAGGCAGAGGAAGACGTAAAAAAATGTGAGGATGCTCAATTGGAAATTCCCAATAAGAAGGTAAACCATTGTGTGGTTGAGATAATAGCAAATAAACTGCAGATGAATAAATGCTTTGGACTCATTTTCAGTCTAATTCAGCTGTATTTATTTTCAGCAACAGCTTGCCTGGTGCTGGCATGATGATTGCAATGCAGTTGCTAATAATTGCAATAATTGGGGTAAACCCCTCCCCCCCCGATTTATTGCATACTGGCAGTTTACAATTGATTTGTTTTGTATTTTTAAGATGATTTCCAATGTGGCAATAGTCTTCAATCTCTATAAGCTAATCTGCTGTTTACCTGCAAAGTAAAAGTGCTTACTTTTGGAAAGATATCCCCTTCTTCCATTCTTGACCAGCCTGGTTTGTGACTACAGCAGTTGTTTGTGTATAGCACAGTCATTTTGTCAGATGCTGTAGTTTGTAATAGTGAATATTAAGATATGTGGTAGAAATGAACTTTTTTTTTTAAGGCATTGAAGTAAACCACAGTACAGCATCTAAAAATGGCTTATATGTTTGCAAATTGAAATATCCTAGTCCTTGAGGGAGATGAGACTTAAATAGCTCCTCTGAGCCAAAGTAGATCTAAATGTGCATTAATTAGACCTTTTAAATGAAGCCCTTTTGTGCACTGGGAATTGGAGATCTCTTCAGTCTTTACTGTGATGTGAAAGGTTCTGGCTTTACCTGTTGTGGTAGATCTGCAATCTGAATATGGTATCTTCTGTCCAAACAGAGAAATATTAATGTTGAGGCTTGTGTATGATACTCTAGCATAAACTGAGGAAAAATCTTGTATGTTCAAGCAGTTATGAAAGTTATTAAAGATACTGAGATGAAGCTCAGGGTGATGCAAGTTTTGGGCTGTGCCTAGCTTCCAATTGGAGTACACCAATTTAGATGTTCATATGATGCCAAGCATTTGTAGGAACCCGTACTTGCCAGATTGCAGTGTCTTTAAATTCCTTTTTAAGGGGTTATCTGTGGAAAACAAATAGGCTAATCAGTTTATCCAGTGCAATATAGGAGACTTAGTTTGCCTTTAAACATTTAATTGTGGTTTTGTCATCTTGTGTTTTTTGTCTCATTCACTGCATGCCTCTAACCTCAATAGTGATTTATCTGAAACCCTGTTAGCTGAACATATTTTCTCTGTTCTTTAATCCTTTTTTATGCACTAATTGCAGATATCCCCCTAAGATCCTTTTGTGATGTAGTCTTGGTAAGTAAGAATATGAAAGGGTGTGCTGGAAAGTAATCCAGTGACTAGATTTTAGTGCAGAAAAGCAGTTATTCTAGTTATCCTAGTTAACTTCATGATTTGCTTAAGGGCTGTTTTTGTAGCTTATTTTAAGCCTCGGTAAACCCAGACTTGTAATATTGAAGCAGTATTTCCTTGTCTGTGTACAGGCCAAGGTGGCATCCCTCCAAGATCTTCTTAATACTCCACTGCCTAAATTTCTGACAGACATCTCAATCTCATCTCCCCCGTATGCTGCAGACTTTAAAGGTAAGTGATATGCAAGGTTGATAAATGTGAAATAGTGCAGGTTTTTACAGCTCCATGTGGAGATGTTTGTATCCCTTTTCCTAATTAAACTATACTAGATCATCTGTCCATGGCAAAGAAATGCCTTGCTTTCACTTTCTTGTCTGTGGAAATCATGTTGAAGCTGAAAGGATTTATAAAGGCTCTTAGGGCTTGCTGAATAAAGAAATACTGTGGAAGGTTATCACAGATGTACAGGAGGCATTGATCAGGTGGTAGTTCTGCAGGCTCCATTTATTTTTACTCCTGTCCATACCTTACAATAGGCAAAGCCTTAGTAGGTACTACCTTAGATAAAACAAATAGAAGAAGCACTAGGTTTACCTTCAGCATAAGAACTTTCTAAGACCTTTATAGGTCAGTGACACAAAGTGATGGTGGTTCCCTTAGCATCTCTTGTGAGATTTCAGTGGTTTCGTATCCATCTGGTCTTGAAACATCACTGCTGCTGCAGCTTCTGGGTTCTGTAGGGTAGCTCAGGAAGATCAGTAATGTGCTGCTGACTGATAACAGAGTAATGTAGATGTGAATACAGCTCATGTAAACCTGAGCTAAATTATGTAAGGCTGGTTTGAGTGGGTGCAGCTCACTTTCAATATATATGCTGGTTTGGTGTTAGACTTCTGCAACATGTAATAATACATGTAAGGGCCCCGAAACTAGTGTGGTAATGCTGTATTTCAAGAAAAATGAATGTGTGTATCCTACCAGCTATGTTTCTCTCAGAGCTGAATGTTTAAAATATTTTAAAATGTCAGGAGATAAAGGAATCTTTGCCTGATGTTTTGTTTGCAGCTTCCATAGCACCTGTTGTAGAAGCACCCCAGCAAGTCAGTGAAACAGTTCAATTCACAGGACGGAGACTGAACTCTAAAATGCAAGTTTACTCTGGCTCTAAACCAGCCTGTCTTTCAAAGATGCTTACGCTGTATGAACAGTGCATCCGTGTGCTTCAAAATAATATTGATTGTGAGTACTTTTAGGGATTTGTAGCAGACTGTGCCTGAAAGTGTATCGGATTTCTTATTTCTCCGTTGCTTGTACCTCGAGCAACTGGCCTGCTAAAGGATACTGCCTCTCCCTATAAATGGTGACTTGGAGCAGGTTGAAAGGCATATAAATAAAGTGGATTTACAGCCATGCTAAAATGTACCTTTGTTTTGAAAGCCTACGTTCTCGTAAAGCTCCAATTTTTAGTTAAAATATAATGTCCTGTGGATTATAAGCCAGAAAGCCAACTGATTTTTTTTTTTTTTTCTTTTCCCCCCTCAGAGATGGTTGTTTACATAAATAAGAATGGGTGGTCAAGAAATTGTTTATTCTGTTGTGTAGGCAGAGAGCAGCAATGCACATTTGTAAAGACAGGGCAATAGCTATTCAAAGATGCTTTCTGCATCCTCAAATACAGCTGCCAGTCGGTATGGAACTGCTGATTTATAAGTATTTTCATAGCCTGACTTCAAAACATGTGTTCTGTCAGGGCATGCTAACATTAACTTGTATTCTCATTTTTAAAGTGTTTGAGTGGTGTTACCCACTGCATAAAATAAATGAGATACTAAAAGTACTGTCCTCTTTTGTAGCACTGCATGAAGTAGGAGGTGTGCCCTTTGAAATTCTTGAGCCTGTGCTAACACGTTGCACACCAGAGCAGTTGCTTCGAATAGAGGAATGTAATCCGGTAATTTCTGCCTTGTTAAATTCAGGGGACCATGGAGGACATGAGGCATCTGTTTCTGCCTTCCTTGTGCCTTTTGTGATAAAGTTTCTCCATGGGTTATACTGGTTTTCTATTTTGAATACTTATTTCTTTGAATTTACCTGTCATTATCAAGCCTTCCTTTCTCAAGTGTTAGGATTTAAAGCATTTTATAGAATTATTACTCTTCACTAAGTGAAAGCCAGCGTGGGTAGAGAAGTGTTTTTGTTTCCAAAAATAAGGAAAAAGTATTCTGTGTTTACTGCTGATGTAGCTGGGGAAGTTGTTACAGAACCAGCTGTTTCCAAGTTAAGCTGTTAAGGCTGAAAAGCATGCCAATTGGGAAGTATCTGGGGTGAGACTTGATGTGTGGTAGATTTATCTGCACTGTTAGGATTTTGGCTCTGTGGTGCATTTGGACATGGAGTGTTCAGCACTTCATAGTGCAAGTTGGCTGTTTTTCCTTGTGGCTGAAGTTGAGATCTGGTGTGGCCTGAGCCTGTGCTGGAAACTCAACTGTGGCTTGTGAGCATAACTCACTAACTCAAGTATAGAGCTCTGCTATATGAAGCTGTGTGATTTCTAGACTGAAGTCAGTATCTCAGCATGGTGTTGCCACTCCCCATCTTGGGGGTACCTGTGGCAGCGTGTGTGGTGGGATTTGTTCTGCATTTTTTCCACCAGGGGATTGGGATTTGTCTACAGGCTCAGCTAACAGGTATTCTTGAAAAATACTATTTTTAAGTTTTTGAGATATCTTGTGTTCAAATTAGACATTTACAGAAGAATGTGACCACTTGTGGAAGAAACACTGCCAGAGAGATTTTAAAAGCAAGAGCCTCCTGGAATATGAGTCTTGGCGTGAAATGTACTTGAGACTGTTTAATCAGAGAGAAGAAAAACTGAAGACGCTTACAAAAAATATTATTTCTGCTCAGTCTGAGAAACCAAAAGGTAGAATCCTTGGCTAGCTTTTACACTTACAAAACTCAGTTTCTTCTGCTATTCTTGGTGCTTTATATGTAGGTTTTAGTGATTTGTTTGCACTGAGCACTAGTGCTGTACCTCTAAAAGAAGACATCAAGAACACTTAACTTACAAGTTGCTCAAAAAATATGTATGCAATAATACAATACATTAATGCATAATACTTGCAGCATGCAGTAGACAATCTTACCTACTGGTTAGAATGTGGATTCTAAGCAGCAATGCAAAGATTGCAAATGTAATTACAAATAGCAATGTTAAAATGAAGAAATACTGCATGCAGTCTATATGTGATTTGCTGTGGTTCAGTTACTACTTTGGTACCAGATTCCGCTTTCCTGAATTAGTTTTTCCTAAATTTAAACCTAGGAATTGCCACACAACTATATTATCAACTGAACTTTGACCGTAATGGGCAAAAGAAGTCACATATCCTCTGCTCTCTTCTTCTGTATTAGGCAGGCAAGTAAAAATGGCTTATATGACCAGTGCAGCAAAACCACCAAGGAACATTCGCAGGCAGCAAGAAATCCATGGGACAGCAGGACCTGTCACCCAACTTCATCCCATAGAGAAGTGCAAGTACGAGTTCTGTAGTATGGTTTTAATTTTAGATGTCTTTTGTCAGTCCAATAGCTTGCTGGCAAAATATTTTTGAAGTTATAAATGACTTTGTACTTGCTTTTTTAAGCAGCTAGTGAACAGAAACTAACTTGCTTTTTAAGCCTTTTATGCTCTTCTGCTGCATATGTGTTGCCATCACATGTTTCTCCAAAGTGCCGGTGATGAATTCACCCTTCCAACTGGAGAGTGAGTGGATGCTCCTGTTTTTCTCAGCATTACACTAATGCTGTTTGACATCTTGGGGAGACTTCAGTGTTCATGTTCTGTGTTTATAAGCCTGTCCAGTAGCCTCACATGTTCTCTTGCTTTCATAAAATCCCAGTCAGCTGCCTGGAGTGATGTAGCTGACTCAGTGAATCTCTGCAACTTTTAATAGTCCTCATGGCAGGTTTCTGTTTTGGCAGCTTAAAGGAGTGTTTGGAACAGTCAGGCTGTACTAGTAGTAAACACTAGTCACTGATGGAACAAAGAACCGGGATTCCACAAATGTTTCCTTTGCACAGCACAAACCCAACTTTTCTTTGTAACACTGTACTTCAGAGTAGTTCAACAGCCACAGAAGCCAAAGCCAAGATGTGGTGTTTGTCCTACTGTTCTTGCCAGCCTAATGAACCTTCTTGTATCTGAGAGTATGGCTACAACAGGGAGATAAAACCTGTAGCACCAGCATCTACCTTTTAACTATGTGGAGACAGACTACTGGCTTTTACTGCTTAAATACCTGTTCTTGTATGAAACAAAAATTCAGGTTTGATTCTGAAGCACCCCATGAGTCGATGAGTCCATGTACCAGCAGCTGGACCATAAAAGCTATGAAGAGTATTCATACTGCCTGAGTGTGGGTATCTTAAGCTGTGGTCACTCACTGCTGTGGCTGCTGATGAGCATGGTGCACTCCCTTGTCCCCACTGCTTGTGGTTTTTCTCATATCAGCATAACTGCTCTTCAGCTAGCTCTTCCAAAGTTGTCCCTTTGGGAACTGGCAGGTGGAACACTTCTCATTAATCTGAATATGGGAACAGTTATGCAGGTTGATAAATACATTAGTCATAGATATCTGGGAACAGGGAGGATAAAACTCAAGCTGCTGCAGATGTGATGCAAGACTGATTTGTAGCTGAACATATCAAGGGAGTGATTTTAAGTTGTTGCTGTTCTGATACTGCAGTGCCTGCAGTTGTGCTGAGTAATTGACTGCTCTTGGGCACATGAACAAGATAATTGACCTGTGCTGAGCTCAAGGAGCATGGTGGGGGGAAATGACCTAAAAAAAACATGGGGAAAGTGTGCTTTTTGTGAATTTTCAGTAACTTAACTTAGTGGAGCAGCCTTGACTTACTTCTCAAGACAGTGGTGGTATGGAGCAGGATTGACAGCCTGGATATAGGAACTTCTTAAAATCAGCTTTTGCATCAGATACAATGTTTTTATAGCTGCACCTTTAGCTGATGAACTTGGAAAGCTTTTTTCCATAATGTTGCTGTTTTCAAGGGAAAGCTAGCGCTCTACCAAGGCAGTAGGTTAAGACACTTCAAGTTAGGCTTTTGCTTTCACCTGCACTGTGTGAGGTTGTCTCTATTGTGACAGATCAGCCTTCCAGTTTAGGTGCTTCAAGTGCAGTAGTGTAAAATGTCCTTTTTGCTCCAGTAATCTCTGGAGCAGTAGCTGAATGATGTACTCAAAGTCCTGCATGCTTTTTTTTTCTCAGGCAGGATAAATTAGGAAGACCTGCTGTTGTGTGAAAGAAACTGTGTCATTGCTTTGCCTTCTTGAGAAAACAAGAGCTTGTTTAGGCACAATAAGTTTGACTTCATTGCTTTGACCATGTCCTCTGAACAACTATTGGTTTTGCAAGTTGTAGAATTTTTACAGATGAAGTCTTCACTTAAGAAGCTGATCTTGCAGGAGATAAAAAGGTCCTGTGGCAGACATGCAGATCCCTTGCATGTTCAGTGTGCAATGGTGTGTATATCTACGTAAATATATATATGTAACTGGCAGCAGATGTCAGTGACTGGCTCTGAGGCACACGAGACTGCCCAGATTGGTGACATCATGCTGACACTTGCTTTAATACTGCATTGGTTTAACTGTCTTAAGAGTGGACATCAGTTCTGTATCTGTGTCTGCCTTAGTCCTTGTCCTGTTGAGGATCCCAACATAATATTTAGGGTTAGTTACTGTGCCTTTTGCTAGACATTCCTACTTGTGGGGGAAAAAGCCCCAAAAGGTTGTGTAAATTTGCCCTCATTTTCTGTCAGAGAGGTAGTTAGCAGTTCACCTGTGTTCTAAGAGAAAAATAAACACAAAGAGCAAACGGTAACACAGGGTATTATGAATCACAGTGATATTGCTAAATGTTTTAATCTGTCACAAAGTCCAATAATTTAATTTTAAAGATTAGTAAAATGCATCAAATCTGATAAATGGAAAATTTGTGCAAGAATGGAAATGGACTAGGTGACCAGTGAGAGCCCTTTTAATTTAAATTATCCTGGTTTTTTACATATCTTAAACGTTTGTGATCAGTTGTTTGCATTTTGGTTTCCTTTTTTTTTCCAAAACGAGCCAAAGCAAGTAGTAGTTTGATATCAAACACTCTTTTCTTTTTTCTTCAAAAGAACGAAGATTCCCGAAAGCAGAAATAGAAATAACGTATCATCAAATCCAATCCCTGCTGGCAACAGTGGAAGCTGTAGCTCAAGTGTAGTGATTCAAGATGGAAAGAAGCCTATCAAAAGTAAATGGAATTTACTAAGATCATGAAGCTGTCTGTTAATATATGCTTAATATTATGCTAATATAATTTTAAGTCCCTTACAGCTGTAATCCTAATTGGTCTCTTTGTTTTGTTGTTACTGAAGAAATCGCACCAATCATGAAGAAAACTTTGAGAGCATTGAAGAGTAGAGCTGGACGACGATAAAATGAGGCTACGTATTTGAAGTCTGAGTGACTATTTGTATATCATGCTACAGCTAATGCAAGTAATGTTAATGCAAACATTCTTCATTTTGCCTTAGTTAAAATAGGTATGAAACACTGCAGGTGAAAATGATTTGCAATAAAAATTGAAACATCTGAGTTCTTTCATCTGCTGCTTTCTTATTCATAATGAGGAAAACTGAACTGAAATAAGGTCAGTACATGCTAATGACAGATAAGTTTATGTGGACTTTTATAGATGCTGTTTTTATCAGTTTATGCACACATTGCATAAGCTTTTCATGGAAGCAGTTAAGCTGTGGGTATATTTTGCCAGGTCCAAAGCTAGCTTGTAGTGTACTTAATTGCAATTGCAAAGAGGTCTTGTCATCTCTTGCACAAAAGGGTATTAGAAATTCTGTGTTTGTCTCGCTAAAGCTTTCCTAAAGAGACTTTCATATTTTTCATATGAAAACAACATTATTTGGCTGGAATTTAGATTTTCCTCTTCCAGAAACAGAAGACTGATTATAAGACAGTCCTGGAGCTGACCTGCTGAAATGGGGCTGTGAGGCATCCTCAGGGCACCACGTTTTTCAGCCCTTTTTACTTAAGCCATGACCTTTTAAAGGAGAGGTAGGAGAAGACAATGTTTAAATTTAAATTCCCCCCCCTTTTTTTTTTTAAAGCAGGATTTATGTACTACTAGGGTAAATAGGGCAGGCCGTGACAGTGAGTTAATGAAAAAATGTTACTTGTGAGCTCTGTCTAGTTGGGACATTTTTGGTACAATAATTAAAAACAGACCTCTCGCTGTGTGATACCATCTAAAGGCATTAAGCTCTTGTATGTGAGATAGTATTTTAGGAACAAGCAGAACAAAGAGAAACCAAGAATGTAATGAGTTTTATGCTATGGTCATCTTTCAGAACTTGTGCCGAGCACTTCATCTAAGTTTGGAGATGCGGGAAAACTTGCGTTATACTCTGATCTACTGCTCTCAGCCTGTCATGAAGAGGCCTAGCTCACAACCTTGAACGAGCCTTGTGTGTTCAAAGTGAAAAAGCTGTTTGGTATTGAATAGCTCTCCTTTCAAGAGTTGTGCTGCTGCAGTTTGGGGTTGGTCTGTGAATGGGTTTGCTTTTAGAAATGAGATACTTCTTTGTAAGTTGCTTCATCTAAACCAGTTCACTTGCACAAATTGTGAGTCTGACTTTGCCTTGAAGGCATGGCTTACAAATGGAGGAACTCTTTCTATAGACCGCCCTTAGTACCTGCAAGTAGGTCTTGTGTTGTACTTCTATAGGATTTGGCATCCTAGAGCTCCTCCTGAAGCACAGGGTAAGATCATAATGAAAATGGTTGCTGTCTCTTACTTCAGACACCTTTATGTGTGAATTTCCTCACCATCCTATAAATATTCAGGTAGACTACAAAAATACTGCTACTAAAAATGGTTTTTATAGTCAGTTAACATAGTCACCTGTACATGACAGCTTGTGCAAATGCTCTATTTATAGAGGGATTTTAAGTCAGCAGGTGTGCTACTGTGTTGTGTTTGTTTTTTGGTTTGTTTGGGTTTTTTTCTACATGCATTATAGTTGCACTAAAAAGAATGAAAGGACTAAACAAGGGTTTTGACCTGGAAATTCTGTAGGGAGCTTTCTCCATCTCTGGGATCAAAACAAGTATTAACTAGTAGGAGAGGTAGTGCAGTGTCTGTTGTACACATGTGACAAATGCTTCTGTGAGGAGCTATTCAAGACTTAAACCTGGCTGAATGGCCAGAGTACCACACCACCCTTTATCCATTAATCAGCTCTGGTCATGGTCTAATTGCTCATCAGCTTAATTCAGTTGGAGGTTTGTATGAAGTGTAGTATGAATGGTTCAAGAATTCTATTTGGGCTTTTTTTGATAGACTGCTTTTATTTGTGCTAGCTGTTGATGGTATCCTTTTATGGAAGAAAAGACAAGGCCGTAACTAAACCTTTTGGTGGACTGTGGCATTAAGAGAACACAGCTGTAACCATTCAGAGCTGCTATACATGACAGCAGTGTCCCCTTGGGAGATTAAAGAATAAATAGTTGTTTTAACTAGTAGACTTTTATTATTAATTGAAGTAGGAAAACTCTTTTCCTGTCCTTGACACTGATGGCAGAGCTGTGTGAAGGGTAAATTTGACTTCAAGATTGTGACTTTTGCTGCTTCTTGCTTTTTCTCATTTCAAAGGCTGTCGATGTCTGTGATAGGAGGTATGTAGAGAGTACCTGTGGGATCAGATTGTTTACCTGACAATTTCTACATTGGAAAATAGTGTAGACAATTAAATCTTGTTTACAAGTGTTATAAAAATTTAGCCTTGGCCATGATCTGATTTAATTATTTTACTACAATTGATTAATATCAAGAGGCAATAAGCAAGCAGCTCTGGGTGCACGGGGTGTCTCTGCTCCGCCAACAACGCACACCGGGGTTTTTGGGGTACAGTCTCTTATATTTCTTGGTCCAGGGTTTCAGTTCCTGGTTTTGAGTTTCAGCCAGTCCTGTTGTCTTCTTTGCCTGAAACTCGATGTGGCTCCTTTTCATTTGTTTCTGTACAGTTGCTGGGGTCTTCTCTCCAGGTAAAGAAACATACTGAAACTTCTCTGTAATACATTAACAGAAAGATGTCTATCACAAACTTAACCGCAATCTTAGACCCATATATTTAACAGGATGTGTTCCCTTGGTTACCTAACCCCCTTAAAGCATTTAAGCAGCTAAACAAAGCTAAAAGCATTCCTTATTGTTTTAACAGTCTAAATGATGAAAGAGGGGACTAGCTTATTCCCTTCTTTCTTCTTCTTTCCCATCATTACATTGACAGCAACATTTATTATAATCAAGGTCATTTTTATACATTCCACACATGGTACACTGGTCACAGGTGCATTGGTAACAATGATTCCTAAGTTCTTGACACGAATCATTCTCGTATTCTCTACACAAGGAAGTAGTTTCTGCTACATGCATTTTTGGCTAGGGTTCTTCTTTCACTTCAGATGTGCTGTGGTGTGTTGCTGAGGACTGAATGCCCACCTGAGGCTGCATTGGATAAGGGATGTTTTGGAAATGCATCTCCCAGCTCAGTTATGAGAAATCCTGGGTTTTGTGGTTTAACACTGCTTCATGACACAATTCAAAGCATATGTGGAAGTAAATTTGAAGCTTGATTTAAAAGCACACCCTTTTAGTCTGCATGAGAACACTTACATAGATGCTTCTGCAGTCTCCTGCCTTCCATCCCTGTGTGCAGTTACTCTGGTAAAGAGGGGTTCTTGCTAGGCCTGTGTGTTCTTGGCATCTGACATACCTAACAATACATGGTGTTGGAGTATATTATCATAGAATCAACTAGATTGGAAAAGACCTTTAAGATAAAGTCCAACCTTTACCCAAGGATTGCCAAGTCCAACACTAAACTGTGTCATGAAGGCCTCATCTGTGTTTTTTGAGCACTTCCAGGGATGGTGATTCCACCACTTCCCTGGGAAGCCTGTTCCAATACTTGATCACCCTTTCTCAGGTAATTGCAGAGTGCAATAACATCCCCTCCCCTCCTCCCCGAGCCTTCTCTTCTCCAGACTAAACAGCTCCAGTTCCCTCAGCTGTTCCTCATCAGACCTGTGCTCCAGACCCTTCACCAGCTTTGTTGCCCTTTTCTGGACCTTCTGTAGCAATTCAGTGCTGCCCCTGTTGTAGTGAGGGGCCCAGAACTGAACCCAGGATTTGAGGTGTGACCTCACCAGCACTGAATACATATTGACCTGAGGCAGATTCCTTTCCTTCTGGTGGATATATTGAAAGGCTTTTGGTTGGTTTTGTTACATACTCCCCAGGCTGGTTGCCACATCCCTCTTCTTGATATATCCTGTATCTTCCTCTTGTGTTTGACCAGTTCTGTGTTCTAGCTGACTGTCTCTGAACTCCCTGGAGGATTGCTGAGCCTGACTTAGGGCAGCTTGGAGAAAACCTGTGATACTTCTCAAGTAAATAGGTATTTTCCCACAAAAAGCCTTTTCCTTAGAAACACATTCCAGCCCCTACTCCTCCTGCTGTATCTCTGGAGCCTTTCATTCCAGCAGCACAATGCTTTTCCTTCTAGGTGATGAGCAAGTTTGATGTTCATTTCTAGCAAACTGAATAAGAAATGGGAGAAAAATATGCTCAGAAAAGGGAAACCTTGCTGTTGTGGAAAGGACCACAAATGGAGAATATTTCTCTTCTTGAACTGTCTATTTCATGCATAGAAACCACTTTCCACTTCCTGCCAGTGTTTGTTTCATAGCATTCAGAAACATTTTCCATCCTGTTAGTGACTGAGCCCAAGAAAGCTCAGCCTGACTGCTATTCCACTTAAAGATGTATGATCTTGCAATTTAAACAGTCCTTGTGGCTGGAGAAGAAAACAGTTTTGAGGTGAAGTGTTTGTCCTTGGGATACTCTGCTCAGAAGGCATATGAAGTTCAAGGAGCTAAGCCTTTCCTGGGCTACATGGCTACAACTATGTAGGTGTTCAAATGCTAGGTTAAGTCCTGGGCTGAAGCCAGGAAGGGGTTTTGGGTTTGCCATGATCCTTCTGGAAGTATTTGGAGACCTCAGTGAACTGCCCTATGCATGCTGTTGCCAGTTATTGCTGTTCTAAGCATTAGTATTTAAGCTGCTGCTGAAGCAAGGCACAACTAGGGTCCCTGTCAGCAGGGAGGATGCTACAGCTCTGAGCCTGGTGCTGTTGGCTGCCTGGTACCTGGGGATTTCTGAGGATTTCTAGTAGTTATAGGATAATCCCAGCAGAGGGAAAAGAAATCCCTTAACACAGTGTGACTTCCAGACTTCCTATCTGTGGATGGCAAATCCTGGCCTGTGTGTGACAGGATTTAAAAAGTGTTAATGGGTTGATGAATAAGAAGACATTCCTGGTTGTACTGCTTTTTGGAGGGGAAAAATACCCCATACAAAATACCATCCAACAAAAACCAGAGCAACTGATGGGGGTTGCCCCATCCTTTTACTTGTATTATTTTCCTTCTCTGCCCTTCCTGTAAAGATAGGTCTTTGAGCGGGTGATTGAAGGCTTTGGTCAGCCTACTCTCTGCCCTTGCAGCCATCCAGCCACAGAGCAGAG